ATGAAAAAATAATATTTTTTCTAGAAAATCTAAGTTTAAAAAAATAATATTAACTTTAATTAAATAATATCAATAAAAAGTAGAAACTTATCATGTAATAAGAAAGATAAAGAAAGAGCAATAAATTATTATGAATTTATATCAATATCATCACAAATTTGACAAGGAATATAAGAAAATTACATTACTACTAATAATAAAATACATGATATAAAAGCACGATTTAATCAAGCAAAAAGAAAAAGTATAGGAGAAAAATAACATAACACTTACCTAAATAATATCATTCAATAGCGAAATAATAATAAAATAAGGAATTAAAAATTAATTATGAAATAGAAAATGATAATACAAACATCTGACGTGATACAAGGATATATCAACCTCTGGATCATCAGTAACACTACTGAAATTGAATTTACTAAATAGATATATTTAGTAAGTTAATGTCATCCTCGACATAGTTTAATTATTTTTGTGGGTATTTATAAATGATAATTCCAATTAAAAACGCAAATAAAATAAGTTTGAAAAATCAACAATCAAATAAGAACCACCCACCAACGAAGTATCCACCAACAAGGTATTTATCATTGAAGAAGTATCTGCCAATGAAAAGATTTCTTTTTGACGAAGTGATATGTGCACATAATAATAAAGAAAATTCACAAAGGGATTTGTTAATTTCAAAAATTACTGGCGAACAATCTCATTTCAATTATGCGTTCCGATAAGGTAAATATAATTTCATCATATCTGCAACGAAAAATACATAATTCCTTTTTCAAAATCTTTATAAATGTCAAGCTGCTTATCAATTTTTAAAAGAGTCAAATACAAAAGGATTAAATCTATTTTTTTTAACGAAATAAGCAAAATAAAAAGCGTGTTCTTCGAACACGATCCGCAACGAATATATTAGGTGAAAAAAAAGGAACCATCCTTTTTTTTAATAAAATAGCAAATGTAATTCAATATGAATTTGGTTGTGAATTTCACATTATTTAAATTATAATGTATTTTATTAGCTTGAAAATTGTATGACAGTTATGATTTGAGCCAAATATATATTCTTATTTGACAAAATTATAATTGCACCTAGAATAGATTAGGAAAAATTTGATTTCCCCATAAACAATGTAAAAAAATCGTAAATTGTAAGAATCGATTGGTTATTTAAAAAAGCGAGACCCCGATTTTATATTATTATTAATCAAATGTAGTTAAAAACCAACCGCCATGTTGTGGGCCTGTATGGACTTTTTAATACGTGCCCGGATAAATGCTGTGTAACAGTTACTATCAAAACGCTGATATGTATTTAGTTATTAGCATACATTTGACTGAATATAAATGTATTCACTCCGCTCGTCCATTAATTAGCGATATAATATCATAGATGGGAAAAGCAATTAACGCTCGTTCACTGTTTTTTGTCCTGATATTTCTTACATTGTCTGGGGTGCTTCTTGCATATTACAGATATCTTTCCAACCCTGTGTTAACAAAAGAAAATAATGCAACATCTACTCCCGTTTCGTATGAACCGGTCGACTTGCGAAAACCAAAAGAAAATAATGCAACATCTACGCCTGTTTCGTATGATCCAGCCGATTTGCGAAAACTATGTGAATCAATCATATCGTCCAACAAATCAACCAACGACAACCATTCCGTACCTACGCCGACTAAGCTAATTCCCGCAGTTAATGGAACTCCGAAAATTCCAAAAGCCTATCAATCGCCAATACCACGAAAAACCCACATGTCCTGTAATTCATACCATGAAATGAATGGCATAACATTTGACCAGTTGTGGGAATACCCACCTATCTCATTATTTATTGGAATTTTCACCGTCCCATACAATTTCGAGAGACGCCAACTAGTCCGCACCATATATAGAGCGCAGCAAAAAAATCTTAAAGGCGATTTGGTGGATTTTCGATTTATTATTGGAAAACCTCACAAGAAGGATGATTCGCCAAATCTCAGACTCCATTTAAAGCTTGAACAAGAAGCCTATGGAGACTTGGTAATGTTAGATATTAAGGAGAATCTTCATAAAGATAAAGCGTATAAATATTGGACGTGGGTTGCAAGCACCTATACGTCAAGTCCGAAGAGCAAGTATCTCTTATTTGCAAAAGCGGACGACGATGAGTATATCAATTTTCAGAATCTCGCGTTGAATTTGAGGCCGCTGGAACGAACAAATCTGTATTATGGGCGTGAACGAAAGAAAGAGGGTGGTGGTTGGAGAACCGGACTTTTGTTCGTCCTGTCACCCGATTACGTGAAGTGGATCGGTGCAACTGATATCCCAGAGAATCTTATTAAAGGGCCAGAAGATGTTGTAGTTTGGAAATGGCTTGTTTGGGGGAACTTGTCAAGGGTAAGGTTTATTTCGTGTTCGATTTGGCTATTTTGACTCGCAACCATTGTCAATGTATTTACTAAAAATCGTTCCTTAATCCATATGCCAATAATTTAAAGACATCGTGGATCAACGAAGATTGCTTATTGTATCAAGACCCGCGAAGCTCAGAGAAACGACACACGTGGTTACAGAAAGACTTTGCTTCACCACAGACAATTGCGTTGCACGGTTTAAAGGAACTTTGGATGTGGGATGGAGTAATCGAATTATTCCATGGTGAAAACCAATTTTCGGACTTGTGAATAGCTTCTGCGGAAGTTATCTTGATTTCTTTGTACTATATAATGTCCTTTGTTATTTTGTTCTTTCCGGATTTTTCCAAAACGTGAAGCACGAACCACTGGAATTATAATGTTTGATTAATGGTGTTCGGCTTTTCTGCTTCTTCGCTCGCGAATTCGGCTATCAGTTGATTGAGTTTGCAGTTTGACGAAGAGGAGATTAATTGTTATAAAGCCATCTTATCTGTATCTAGTCTTCCAAATTTGATAATTCTAACAAGGTAAAATGGTCTATGGAAGTAGAAATTTAGTTATTTATTTAATTAGAAGTAAAATAGGTATACATGTACAGTCAACCCTCTTTATAACGATGCGCTATATACCGTAATCGGCTTTTATTGAAGTAAAATTAAAGAACCGAATTTTATTATATAAAAATTCCCGATATACCGAAATTTTCTAATACATATCTTACTGAAGTTTAAATTTTTTGTCCAAATCTCATTTACCGTAATTCGCATTCTTGGGTACCCGGGTATGTACCCCGGGGGGGATACATTACCCGGTGGTGGATTAGTGGTGGATACGCAATTGGGGGGGGGGGGGGATTCTATACGGCGTTAATAATTAAATTTGGCAACGAGACATCTGTATATTGCAAAATTTGTATTAAAAAGATTAGTTTTCGGTAATGATCAGTACCTCTCATTCTTCATTTTTTTCGCGTCTATTTGGTAAGAAAAGTTTGGAAAATTTATATATATTTAACGAGATTAATAATCTGAATAAATTTTAGTAATAAAATATGCGAATAAAGAATTCTATTCTTAAAATCAAAAAAAGATCATGGATGGCACATGAAAAACTCTCAATTTTAACCTATTTGGCGAAAGCATCCAATAGAAAGTGTGTATGCAACTGCCAACGAGTTTAATATTGAGCTAGTACAAATCAGAAAATGGAAAAAAACAAGACTTTGCTTATGAATACCTGGCCCCAAGTTAGATGACTTAATATAGGAGCAAGATCCAAGTATTCTGAGCTTGAAAATAATCTTGAAGAATAGATTAGAGATCTTTGATCATAACTCAAGAAAGTATTATGAAGTATGATTCAAATCAAAGCAAAAGTACTTGCCAGATCTCTCTCTTCTAAGGATATATATCCTAGTATTGACCAGTTTAGCTTCAGTAACAAATAGTTAGATGAATTTTTATATCATCATCATTTAATTAATCATCATCAAACAACTATAATATAATATTTGTCTAAAGATCTTGAAGAAAAATAATATAAATTCTTGATATTTATATTATATTAATAAATATAATTTGATTATTCAACTTCTTTGATTAATAATATGAATAAAACTTTTATATCTTTCAATCTTTCAAATCAAATAACAATTAATGAAATTAATATTTACACAATTGGAATTCATATCTGTGAACATGAAAAATTCAATTTTATGATTATTTTAACATGCATGTCAGATAATAAAAAAATTATTATTTGTAATTATATTTAAGCTAGCCAAAGTTCTATAAAATCAAGAATTTTTATTAGGTATAATAATTAGAATTAATAAAAAAGAATGAATGAATAAAAAAGAAATATTATTTTGAATTGAATATGTAAAATACTCAATTATTATTATTTGTCAATTCCCAATTTCTTTTAGTATTGAATTCTTTTGCTAGATATCTAGTTAATTTTATTAAATGATATTTTAATAAAAAAATAACTAATATTGTAATTATTTCTGGTAAATTAATCTTAAAACTTTAATTATTAGATATTAAATTAAACAAATTATTTAAGATAAAGATAATTTATTATAAAAGTATAATATTTCAAACTATTTTTATCTTATCTTATTTTTTATTAATACAAATGTATTAATAATATAATACTTGAATAACTGAAAAAGTTTATCAACTTATTTTTGCTAATTATATTTAATATTTTGTATATTTTGTTATTACATAATGAGTTAAAACTGCTTGAGAAAGTATAGATCTAAAAATAATTTTTCAATTATTTAAATGCTATGATATATTTAATGATTAAAATAAATTTGAGAAATATTTAATCTTTAATTATGATTAAGTAATTATAACTAATTAAAAAAATATTTTTTATAAATTTGAAAGATAATATTAGTAATAATAAACTTGAAATTAAAATAAGTTTAAATACTATTTTTAATATTATAAATAATAATAATATTAATAATTATATTGATTTTAAAAATTTAGAAGAAAATAATAAAAATATATTTGATAGTTATTATAAAGATAAAACTAATTATTTAAACTTATGAATAAATAAAAAGCTAAATATTGAATAGTATATTTAAAAATCAATTATAAAAAATATTATATAATATTCTAAATATAGTATTATTATAGTAATATAAATTTCTTTAATTTTATAATTTTTTGAATTTTAGATTTTTAATTATCAATTAATTTTTAGAAAGTATATAATTTAAAATAATTTAATTAATATAATAATAATAATTTCAATTATGCTTCAGCTATAATTTAATAATATTTTAGAAATAATTCAGAATTATAAATATATAATTTGTATAATATTAATTATAATTCATAAATAATTTATCAATAATTTAGTTATATTTTAAAAATAATTTAGAAATAAACTTTATTTATTTTTCTTTATTATCTTTTCTTTATAAAATATCTATCTTATTTTATTATTTATTATTTACAGTTAGTAATATAAAGATTCAGAAATTTATTTATATTTATAAAAAAATTTATTTACTTATTTTTTAATAATAAATTTTTTTTAGAATATAGTCAAATATATAATGAATATAATTATATAGTTATTAATAATTTATTTTCTTCTCATTGTTTAAATTAGCTTATTAATATAATTTTTCATGCTTTTTGCTAACTTAAGAAAGATATTAAGATTGATATTATTCTATTCTTGTCTAATTATTTCTTGAAATTCATTAACAGATAAATTTTTTTTAATTATATGAATATTAACCTTTTTTTCAACTTTTTGTTTAAGTATTATCCATAAATTCTTAATAAGATTCAAATCAAAAGAATTTGCAGACTAATCAATCACACAAGTCTGATATATTTCAAGAAGATTTTTTATATTACCAGCAGTGTGAATGGGAGAGTTATCTTATTAAAAATGCTATTTGAAATCAGCTTTATAAGTATTTAGAAACAGATAGGATTCAAGAATTTTGCAATATTTGTGATAATTTAAATTTTCTGTAAATAAAAATAATATGATCAATTTCTGTAAAGAAAATACATCTCAAGCATGAACTTTGTATAAATATTTTATCATGAGTTGACATAGATATTGATCTCTATAATAATATCATACTAATAAAGTATTTCAGAATATTTAAAGTGTGATTTCATCTGAAAAAATTATTTGATTTCAGTTATCATTGATTTAAGATTTTTTTTTAGAATATGTTAAATAGTACGAGTAGATATGTTAAGATTTGAATTAATTTTGGTAAGTCTATTTTTCATTTCAAGTATAGAAATTACTTGATTAGTTTGAATGAGTTGGTCTAGATGATGACAATTTTGAGTAGAGAGAATAGAAAGTCTTTTAAGAATAAAATAAAATATAATTTTGCCATTTTCTTTAAGATTTTTAACAAGATCATAAATAATAGATTTGAAATAATCTATGATCTTTATGATTTTAGCTGGTTTTCAGATATTATTTTCTTATAATTTACTTATGATAGTTTTTTGTTTCTCAAGAGTAGTATTATGTGATATTGTTTATTAACAAGTCTAATCATAATAAATAAAGTTAATATAAATTTATATATATTAGTATTATATATCATAAGATATTATATAGTGAAAATAATTTTAAAAATAATACAAAAATGACTTACCTATGATATTTTTTGTATATTATAAAAAAGTCCAAATCTTTATGTTGCCAACTGTATTTTTAATTTTGTTATTTATATTATTTTTTAATTAATATATATATTTTATTTTTAATTTTTATTTATTAATTTATAATTTATTGCTTGATTCTTATTTCATATTTATAAATATATATTATAATTATAAATAAATTATAAGCAAAATTCAAATAAATTTATATAATTTCAAATATATATAAATATCTCTGCTCTTGAATATAAAATAAATATACTTGAATAGTAATAATTCTTTTATATTTAAAAACTATTTAAATTATACTTATCTTGTAATTATCTTTATTTTTTTATTTTGATATTTATTTTTTTTATCTTTTCTATTTTAATAAATTATATTTGATTAATTATATATTTTTCTTATCTGAAAAATATAGATAATAAATATTTTTTATTTTAAATAAGTCAAGTATATATTATTTTGATTTATAAGATTCTTGCAAGCTTTCTTATATATAAAAACTTTATTTATTTTTAATATATATTTCTTATTTATTTAATAATTAAAAAATATTATTAGAAGATTTAGTTAATATACTAAATTTATTATTTATAATTTTATTATATTTAGTTATAAGTATTTTTTTCTATTATATTTTTATAATTATAACTTCTTTTATTTGTTTTTATTTTTATTTTATAAAAATATAATACTTATAAATATTAATATTAAAAAATCTTTAGAATAATTATAATTCTTTTTATTTTTATAAATAATTTAGTCTTCACTTTTAAAATTTATTATAAGTTATATTTTTAATAAAATTTATCTTTACAAATATATTTTATAATAATAATATATTCTATCAAAGTAATATATCTAGAAATAAATTATAAAAAATATATTATAATAAAAATATTTACAAATATGAATTATAATATTATATATTTTATATTGATTATAATTTAATTAATTAATTATATTAATTCTTATTTATTTAACTAACTTAATCTTATTTATTTATAAATATTATTTTATTTGAAATATTTTTAATTACTATATCATATTAAAAGTTATCATAAAATTATTAATCTATTTATAATAATCTTAAGA